CAGCCTCCCTCCCCAAGATTCATACCAGGATGCTGTTGGTTGTTCCCCTTTCTCGCTGTCCAGGAGGGAGAGGGAAGCACACAGATTGGGTCACTCACACTCCCCAGCCCTCTGACCCCCAGACAGGAGTGAGAGGAATGCAGGGACACTACACACTTTCCTCTCAGATACTGATTGCTGATCTTACTCTCTGATGGGAAGAGGAGGACAGTGCACAGCACCCCTACATTCTTCTCTGCCCCCCGCCCCAAACAGTGGTTTGGGGATGGGCTCGAGGCTGGAGCAGTCCTGGACTGGGTGGGAGTGCAACCTCAGTCAGCCCCTTTAAACTGCCTGGCTGCCTGCTACTTAGTGCAGCAGCCTGCAGGAGAGCCTCCTCTTGCAGCTAAGCATCCCAGCCTGCTGGCTCCTTACCAAAGCAGCGCACAGGGGCACAGCCTGCTAACTTTCATCTCTGCTTATGCATGTACTCATTTAAAACCCATATCTTTGTAGATAAATGAATTTGTTTTATTATTTAATAAAAAAATAGTGATTGTCAATACTGAAGTGCATGGGTAAGTACATTTAAAGGAGCAAATTGTTAGATACTACACAGACACTTAAGGTGTGACCTTCTGGGAGGCTGATTAAAAGACTGAGGGGTAGCTTTAAAGTCTGTAACTTTAAAAAAAAAGCTTAAAAAACAAGTGGTCTGCAATTCAAGTAGGAGGTACAAGAGCAAAGCATTATATGAGGCACCCGAGGTTGCAGGGCAGGAGTGACATAGCCCCTCAGTGGTCTGGACTGCATGCTTGAAGATCAGACCATTGAAGACAATAGGTTTTGGATCAGGCCCTGTTTGCTTAAAAGTACACACCATGGTTAAGTGTCTTGTCGGACTGGGACCTAAAAAGGGAGAGAGATGGAATTGTTGTGGTGGGGGGGTTGCAATGTAATAATTCCAAGCAATGCTTTTCTACATTCCTTTCTGTGGCCCTTGTACCATAGAACTCAAAGAAAATGTTACTTACAGCGTTACAAGCATCCATATTTACTTCTTTCCCTGTAATATATAATACATTAAATGTTTAGGAAAGAACTCCATTACTTAATTTTTAAATATATTTACTGCATCACATCTTAACTTCATGAAATTAAACAAGCCATTTATATTCAATGTGGGATTTATGTACTATATGCTGAAACTGAGAAACTGGCATATCATCTGTTTGGGTGAAAGCTGTCTTTTGGAATTAGAACTCTAGCCTAGAAAGACTACATAATGAAGGAGGGGCAGTTGGCCTTTAAGACATTGGTAAATGAAAAATAAACAACTTTTAGGTTTTATAAAAATTACCTTTATCTTAAATTATAATATTTCCATTTATAGACAAACTACATTAAGATGCAGCTAAGGTGGAGACCATATTTTACAGCAGTTGTTTCCACACACAGATATGGCACTCTTCTATTTTTTTTCTTAGTGTGCGAATAAATATTCAGTCTCAGGAAGACATGCTAGAGTTGTTAATTTTAGTTTATGCAAAAGGTCTGCATAGACGCAGTACTCCTTGATGAGGGAGCTATGTGAGCAGTAGGAGAGTTGGCTCTGTCTTAATCTCTGATTAGAGTCAATTTTTGAAGCAGAACTGCTCTCTGGGAACGGGCACTAGAGTTTGGCTAGGATTTTGGAAAGAAAGAATTGCTCGTCATGAAGTACATGAAAACAACTGTTCCAGCGCTGGTATTGTAATGAGGGGATATGATTTCCTTCCCTTCCTTAATGAGAGGGAGAACCACAACCAACCCCTAGTGGGCAGATCCAGGATATCTGTGGCTGCCCCATGGGAACTGGGAGTATAAGAGGTTGGTCCTCTGGCTCAGTTGGGGCAGAACTATCAGAGGAGCAGGACATCTCCCCCGTTGCTGCTGGAGCCCACGCCTGATGGGGCTGCTACATTGCCACAGGAACTACTGAAGCTGGTAGACACTAAGGACACCAAAAAGATGTTGGGGTTGCTGCTAGCTATCTACCCTAATGAAGTGAAAGACAACCCTGGAGTTGTCTAGGGGTGTGGAAAGGAGCCCAGAGAAGCCAAATAAGGTTTAGCTGTGTTACAAACTGCAAATCAGCCAGCAAGTTTCAGCTGGATTTCCCCAGTGATCCAGAGACAGAGCACACTGCCACTATTAGAGCCCTGGACTGGGCCGCAGGGGAGTGGGTAAGTCTTTGCCCCCCAATCCCTGCCACCCAACTCCTGAGAATGGCAGACTCCCCACTTTTCAGTCAGGAGACCTGCACTGATCTGACGCCTGCCCAAGCTAGGACACCAGATAGTTTTGCTGACTCTCTTGCCAGAGAGCTAATCCCCTCACTTTACTGCTGTATTGCTCTACTTCACTGTACGCCACAGCCATTACCTGAGCTGATTGCTGCCCTGCCCTGATGGAGCTCCTGGAGAAGACATATAGACTGCCTATTGCTCTGCCTGCCTGCCTGCCTGCAAGCCAAAGCTATAATGGATTATGCTCCTGCCATGACTAAGGGCAGAAGGCTTATAAACTAATTTCTACCCCATAAGACTGTGGGCCAGAAGCATTCACTGTGTGCTTTCTCGCTCTGTCTGAGAGCTGGGGCTCACAATCCCATTCCTTGTCTAGCCTGGACTGCAGGTTTGGATCTATTAATCATTACCCACCAGCAAACCCCGTCCCCCCCAAATGGAGTTGCTCAAGGAGCATTGAAGTGAGAGGGCACAGTCTCCCTCCCTGACAGACTAGGAGAGAACTGCAACTGTTTTGCAGGTACCTATGTAAATAAAACAATTTATGCTTCAAGTATATCCAGATTGTGTACCACTGATTTCTCCACTGGGAAACCAACCGGCAAGGCCCTATGCATCTACCACCACTTGGCAGACAGGAGATGCAGTGTCATCAATTAGTATTCTAAGTATCCCCCAACACACAATCTATCCAGGGAATTCAGAGTTGAAAATGAAGTATGGAAATGAACAGTCAGGGCACTAAAACAACCTTAAAGCTATCTGCCAGCAATAATATGGGTGAGGGGGAAGAGATAGAATGTGCCTTTAAAATATATTCAACCTTAACTCATAATTTCTAACCACAAATTATGTAATTATAGTTGTATGATTATTAGATGGTATCATTCAAATATCTTATTATAAATTACATGTCTTAAATATATTTCTTTTTAATTTAACTTTTCAAGTCAGATTTACTAATACTTTCTAGCTACTTAACACTGCCCTAGACTAGGGCAAAGCAGCCAGAGCATATTGCCCAGTTAAAGTACTCTCTTCTCCTTGCCTGATAAGTAGATCTCATGCAGTGGTTTTTAAAATAAAATACAGGCAGTCCCCGGGTTACGTACAAGATAGGAACTGTAGGTTTGTTCTTAAGTTGAATTTGTATGTAAGTCAGAACTGGTACATATTGTAGGGGAAACTCTAGCCAAACATTTCTCCAGAGCTCAGTTTTATTCTCACACCTCACTTCCCTCAGTCCTTTATTCTCAAGCTGAGATGTCTGCTGAGAAAAGCCGCTCTGCGTCTCCCTGGTCTGCTGGGGGGAAGCAGCTAGTGCGGGGTTGCCTCACCCCGTTTGTAAGTAGGGATCCGATGTAAGTAGGATCCATGTAACCCGGGGACTGCCTGTATTTAGGATTCATGACCACTTTTGCCATCAGTTATAAGTGAAAGTTCCACTGTCATCAAAGACTGCTAGATAAAAATGTAAGAGAATTCACAGAGATGTCCATTTTCAAAATGGTTTCCATTGCCTATTATTCTGAAACAGACCATAAGCTGCCCTCTCAGTTGCACTCTTTTGAAATGGTCACCATTTTTCAGAGGTCCCAACAGCTGTGAACCAAGCTGATATCAGGGAAGACAGTGTCTTGATAGTTGCCAGGAGAAGCACTGTGAGAGGCAGCTGAATGGATGAAGTGGCAACCTTTGCTAAAGTGAGCCAGTAGCCTTAGTTACAGTGAGAATAATAGGCCATTGTTGTACCTAAATTCCCGACTTCTACATATTGGCTAGTTGGAAGTCCAAGTCAGGGAAAAGCAGTATATTTCTCAACTAGTATTTTATGGAAAAGCCATCTCAGAATAAGAAAAGTCAGTTGGTTTCACAATTGGCAACTGTGCCATGGTATAACATTATACATTTGTTTCCATAATTTCTTTAACCATAATTTTATGAACTTACCAACAAATATACTTGGCTGAAATGAATTGAGTTCAACATACATAGTGCAAACATGAGGATATGGAGAAAGAAAAGTATCACCATGTTTGAATCTCAGTTTTGATCTAGATAGTGGAGTTAAGGCTTATATAATTTTAAATTTAAATTGTTAAGATGAATAAAAATCAAATGGCTAAATTTCCATTCACTGCTTTAAAAGAATACCTTTTTAAGACCATGTAATAGTATATACCATACTCTTATGCATTAACTTGTCTGTATAGTTATAAGAGAAATTCTATATGATAAGCCACTGATAAAAAAATGCTGGTTTTTACACCCCAGATTCAAATACAGGTTGGACCTCCCTGGTCCAGCACCCTTGGGACATGACCAGTCCCAAACAAGGGAATTTGCCAGACTAGGGAAATTCCCTGCCATCAGTCTTCTAGCCCGCGACTACCTCTGCTTCTGACCCCAGCTGTGCTTTTGGCCCTGGCCAGACCCCTCTCCCTGGGGCGTCAGGCTGTGCTGCCAGCCCTCTTTGCTGCAGTGTTCCCCACACCACCTTAGCTCCCTGCTGCAGGACTCTTGGCCATGCCACAGATTTCCCTTTGGCACCTGATCCTCTGACTTGAGGCTCCCCATGCCACCTGAGCCTCTTGCTCTGGGGCACCCCAAACTCTTATGTCAAACTTCCTGCCTGGATGAAGATGCACCATGTCTGGTAACTGACCAAGAGACTGAACTTCTCCATTGAAAAGAAGGTCAAGAAAACAAGAAAAAATAGTATTGTAAGAACAAAGGGCTACAGCAGGTGCTGAAGCAAAAGCAGTTCCATGCACTGTCACAGGAAGCAAGAAGGAACTGAAATTAGGGAGCGTATGCAGTGCCCCTTATAGCACACCATGGAGGATGCATCTACACAGCAGCATTATTTCAGAATAACGGCCATTATTCCAAAATAACAATGCGAGCATCTACACAGCAATTCTGTTATTTCAAAATACATTTGAAATAACCGACAGCTTATTCTGATTTCTGTAAACCTCATTCCACGAGAAGTAACGCCTATTCCAAAATCGCTCCACTGCTGCCATTTTGAAATAGCTCCTTCCCAGGGCCATTCACACTAATTACTTCCCAGTGCTTCCTGGGGCTCTAAATCGAGGTAGCACATCCACATTAGGGAAGCTTGCTCCAGATTAATTTTGAGGCTTCCCAATAGTGTAGACGCACTATTTCAAAATAAGCTATTTCGGAGTATTTCTTCCAGAATAGCTTATTTTGAAATAAGCATGCAGTGTAGACATACCTGGAGGTGGCACCCCAGGGGTCGCTATGGGCACTCCTTTACAGATACTGCTAAGGGAAAAACTTCTGGCAGCAGTGCACCTAGTGAGCATGTACACCAACTGTGGAATGCACATAAGTAACCACTTAAGCAGCAAGTATTAAAACTGTAATACTTTATCAGAGCTCTTAATGGGGTTTTATGCCAGAGATCCTGGCTGATACGCAGTTCTACTCTTGTCCAGGGCTGCCGACAGAACACAAACATTCAGAGGAACACATGGAGGGAAGGAAGTTGAAGAACAATCTGAAAAGCACCCATGGAGAAAAAATAAGGATTGCTCAGCAACTACCAGACACAGCTGTTCAGTGGCACTGCCTATCAGCTATTTTGCAGCTAGCAAAAGAGAGGAGGGAAGTGCGCATCAGAGATGGAGTCTCAAGGGAAGGAGCAGAGCAGTGAGGTCCTCAGAGTAGGGGACAAAGTGGTGGAGCACGAGTGGGGCCTCAAAAAAGGGGGTGGAACACCCACAAGGGAAATCAGCTCCTGTGATATCTACAACAAAGCCAGTGAGGATATAATTATGGCTATTTTAGAGAAGATTTTTAAAAGATGGGTTTGCAGGGGACAAAGCTATGATAATTGGGAGAACATCCTGCACAATACAAAAGGTATTCAACAATCAAATTCAGCAGCCAAATCAGCACACATCTTTTGTCTCAAGTGCTGCCCATTCACTGAATCTTGTTGGAGAGCAGCTACAATGGCTGTCCCAAATTGTTCTACTTTTTGAAATTGTTGAAAAACTTTGTATACCCAGTTTTCCACTTCTACTAGTCATTAGGATGTGATGAAAAAGCAAATTTGCATTTACATTAAAATGCCTAAGCATAATAAAATAGTCTGCAAGAGTAGAAATCAGATTGAGGGTGCTGAATACACTAGGCAAGACCAAGGATTCATACAATCATATGCCAGAACTTATGCTGAAAGCAGACATCTTGCAAACAAACATTTCTGAGTTTTCATTTTTTGTTCTTGATGAGATATGGTAGCTATCTTATAAAAAATAATGTTGTGAACAAAAAATTGTAGAGTCCAGTTCTTCAGTCAAACAGCTCACTGTTTACTTGGTGGCTTTGGACATGCTTTATCAGAATTACAGTGTTCTGGGTTTATTGCATGTAAGATGGAAACATTAAAAATATCCACACAGTTCAAAGAAAGGAAGTAATGTCAGGTGAACTTGCAAAAGATGAAAGGTCATCCAATTCTCAAAAAGTTTCTGAACATAAGGTTTTCAACCTTGTCTTAAACACAATATTATCATAACTGGACAATAGGATGTGTAAGTATTATAGAGTGAGTGAAAGAGATGTTTCTATAATAGAAAAGAAACTGAAGAGTTCCAGCAGCGAAGATCAAAAGAGGGGCACTGTGACATAGCGGGGGTGCTGTCTACTTTGTAACCCAGTGTTCCTGCCAGCTGTATTGTGAGACTCACTTCACTTGTGTATTGGCCGTAGACAACTACGTCCCAGCCTGAGCAGAGAACAACCCTGTTGAGAGAGAGAGAGAGAGAGAGAGAGAGAGAGAGAGAGAGACACACACACACACACACACACACACACACACACACACACACACCCCTCCCCCCCCCAGGGTGGAGGGTAGGGCCAGAGAGCTGAGTAGGTCTTGGCTGGGCTATGGAGAATGAGGATGTTTTGGACCAAGGAAGGGGGTGAAGCCCCTTCCCCCCCCCCCCCCCCCAAGAAGAATAAGGCTGTCCGCCCTGGCTCCTGTGTTAACATCGCTCCTACGCTACACTGTGTCTTTGAGAAGCAATAAGAAAATGTCTATTCTACTGGCTGGATGCAAGTCACATCTGGCTGCGGATGGGGGTTCAGGGTAGGGGGCTCCCCAACGTGTCATCACAGATGCTCAAAACATAGCAAACAGCTGCCCTAAGGATTTAAATACTGAAAGTGGAGAGGATGAGATTGAGCTCTTAGCTACATTTACAGAAGTTATAAATAAAAGTTTCCCTGAAGAGAGAAACAACACGGAGTATTTTTTGCTGTCTTCTTACCACCATGTCTGCTAATGAAGGAAATTTTAGTAAGCTAAAATTAATCAAGATCTACATAAGAACATCCCTGGGACAGAAAAGGCCAAACTATCTGGCAGCTGATTTCTACAGAGAATTAGGAAGCAAGGCATCAGATATTTTCAGAGACGCCTAGGAAAGTCTCTTTGTAAGAGTAAATTCTCAAATAAAAATTCTGCAACTGAAGACAAACATAGGGACAGATTCTCAGCTAATGTAAGCCGTATTCAACATGATATAAGCTGTAAGCATGCTGTCTTGACTCCAGTACTGCTTTATGTTAACTGAAGATCCAGCCCTCAAATTCCACATATCAATAATATAAATTAAACAAGCTCCCAAACCTGGGCTTGCTGAATTTTGACACCAAGAAAAGGACACACAGAAATATAGTAGTGTTCTGTAGCAGTGAGATGTAAATGATCATGATTTCCAATAATTATTCAAATACCTTTCTTAAAGATTATTAAAAAGTGAGGAATATTAAAAATTAACATTATATACACGTTTTGATGTGATTGACTGATGGATTGCAAGGGAAAGTGAGATTTGAACCCTCGACCCACACCAAGGCAGAACATCTGACATATGCACTGGAAGACTGAAATGCAGGTCATATTAGATGTTCTGAGGATCCCTTTTGCTTCTAAACTCTATCAAACTAGGAAAGTTCCATCTTCCTGCCATGGGTGGCAAGAAGAAACCTAGGGCTGCTCTGCCTTTTATGATCTCCAAAGAAAGGCCAATGGAGTGCAAACCACAAGTAAAGTGTTCAACCAACCCCGCTGACCAAGAAAATCCAACCTCACATGCATGGAGCCGAGACACACCAGAAGCAGAATCTAGATGGATAAACATTCAAAGTACACTTTAATTCAGAGGCTGCTAATATTTATTTTCATGGACTTCAATCTTTGTGGTGATCTGCCCCCCAGTGAGATCATAAAAGGAATGGAGGTTTTCTTTATAATTCTAAAAACAAAGAATATAAATCTTCCAGAGATCGCTTTAGGTGGCCAAAACCTTAAAAGTTTGAGAGATCAAATGTATTAGTAAAGACTACGTTATATGAGCTTACTGTTACAGTGGTATATTTTTACTTTAAAATGTAAGAAGTTATGAAAATTGTAGATTATCGATCCTTCAAATAAAGGGCAACCACCCTAAAAATAACATTGAAAAACATTGCAGTACACCCAAATAAAAACTCTACAACTGAAAACATAGTCAGATCTTCAGCTGATGTAAACTGCATAGCTCCTCTGACTTCAATATTCATTTATGCCATCTGACACTCTGGCCTATAAATTGCACATACTGATAATTTAAAAAATTTCCCACACTCATTGAATTTATTTACTTTGACACTGAGCAAAGGATACATGGGAATATAGTCAAGTGTTCTGTAGAAAAAGGATGTAAATTATCAAGATTTCCAATTATTACTCGAATGGCTTCCTGAAAGATTAAAAATTAAGGTGGAAGATTAAAAATTAACAGAATATGCAAATTCCTACTGGTGAAGTAATTTTAACTAGGGTTTCCAGTGTGGGGATCTTTTTTTATTTAAAAGACTGCCAGTCAATATAATTAGTCGCAGGTTCCTGAGGATACATAAAAGCCGATCAGTGCTGCAAGATAAGCAGCTGATATACACAGAATAGCACAACTAGTTCCTCATCAAAGAGTAAAACAACTGAGATTCCACATCAAAAAGT